GACACACGGCCAGATGGGAGAGATGCAGCATTATCAGGAATGGTGAAGGGTAGCGGCTGTTAGGCCTGTGCGAGTAGGCAGCTATTTGATCCAGCTTCTGATCCAGCCGCTTCAGATGACAGTGATCTGATCCAGAGCTCCAGACTAGGTTCTCGCTTTGACCCAGCCAAAGCGGCTCCGAAGCTTCAGAGCTGCCTGAGATCTGGCCATAGGGTATAATGGGGAATCAATGAAATATCTATAACTTTGTTGTTTTTTGTCCAATTTGGATGAAACTGGCAGGGGTGGCCTCTGCTGAGAGCATGAAGCCTACCAAGCTTCAAAAAGATCCGTGTAGGGGTTCTGGGGGAACTGTACCCCAAATTCTTGAAAGCAAAACTCATGTCACATGTATGTGTTACTCTACAGGGGGGTAAAAAGTGCAGGGGTAGTAGCCCCTGGTGAGGCCACAAAGCCTGCCAAGTTTCAAGGAGATAAGTGCAGGGCTTCGGGGAGAACTGCACCTCAAGCTGTGGACAAGCAAAACTTGTGACATGGGTGACACTGTGTGTGTTAAGGTGCAGTGGGGTGAAAGCTGCAGGGATGGTAGTCCCTGCTCAGGCCACAAAACCTGCCAGCTGTCAAGGAGATAGGTGCAGGGCTTCTGGGTTCTGCCCCCCCATCCATGGGAGCATGATGGGCCTGTGGTGGCCTGGGCATCCCCATCCATGGGAATGTGATGGGCCCATGGGGCCCGGCACCTCTAGCTGCTGACAGGCAAAACTTGTGACATGGGTGCCGGTGCAACTGACTGTCTCTGTCTTGGGGCAGTTGGTTGTCTGTATTGATTATTTTCTCTCTTTAGTCTGTGGTTTTGTAGGTGTTAATTAGGTGTTAATGAGTTGATTAGCAAGGATTATTGTCATGGGTTTTGCTTGTCCGCAGCTTGAGGTGCAGTTTCCTCCAAACCCCTGCACCTATCTCCTTGAAACTTGGCAGGCTTTGTGGCCTCTGTAGGGGCCACCACTCCTGCAGTTTTCACCGCCCCCCCGGTGGTGTAACACATACATGTGACATGAGTTTTGCTTTCAAGAATTTGGGGTGCAGTTCCCTCAGAACCCCTAAACCGATCTTCTTGAAATTTGGCAGGCATCATGCTCTCAGCAGAGGCTACCACCCCTGCCAGTTTCATCCAAATCAGACAAAAAGCAACAAAGTTATAGATATTCCATTGATTCCCCATTATACCCTATGGCTAGATCTTCAAGGTGGCTCCGAAGCTTTTCCGAAGCAGCTCAGAAGCTCTGAACCACTTTGGAAAGCCTAAAGAAGCCAGCGCTTCGATCTGGACATGTTACTTCAGACGCCGAAGCATCCAAAACTTCTCTGGATCCGAAGCACGGTTCAAAGCCTCGCACAGCCCTAGTGGCTGTTGCACTTAGAAACCAAATTCCTAACTTAGTGCTTTATGAATTGACACAACACTAGGTTGATGAATAGCAGAAAGGCCTGTTTTAATAACTACCAACAAGCTACACAACTAAATAACAGAAAAGACACTTTCCCAATATAAAACAAGCTATTATTCCTTAGTATTATCTTATCTGCACAAAGATATTTACCCAATGCAGGCAGGAAGCAAATCTTGTATAGCCTCAAAGCTTGGATCCTTCACTTGTCAGCTGGGTGGCAGGATAGCTTGGTCTGGACTGCACACACCTTGCTGGCAAATCTGTTTAGTTGTTTATACTGTTTCATTGTATAGCTTCAAAGCATTTTTTCTTGATGGTTGGCTGATTTAGAGTCCAAACAAACAGGGAGCAACAGGTTGATCATCATAACACGACTGATAATTTCCTGGCACTTGTTCTTGATTTGTCTAGGTGTGAAAACTGTGTTTTTCTGCAGCCCGTGCAATTAATGGTCAATTTACAGGTGATGGGTTTGACTAGTCCAACAGGATCCTTAGGGGTGTCAACAAACCTGTCTTTGGGTATTTGTATATCAACGGGGCAAATTTGCAGTAGCTTATATCGCTGATGTTCTGTTTCATGGTATGTCTGGAGTTCTGTAATGATCGAGACATTGTCACACCTTAGAGTGACATTTGATGCCTGTTTTGAGAAATCTGAGGATGTCAGTACAGAACATCCTCTCTATATTCAAGCAGACAAGGTTCTTTGGGTGAATCTGATATCTTTTATTAGACCAACTTAATTAGTTGGAAAACAATTATTAAGCAAGCTTTGGGTACAAAAACCCTTCGTCAGGCTAAGGAACTTTCAGCAGTTGGTGTGTGCTCTTCCTGGTTGGAATGAAAAAGTAAAGAAGCCAGGGGCTGGGCTGGTATGCATGCAAGACAGGTAGTCAGTGAAAATGTAAATTGAGGAGTCAATGGGTGAGACACAAGCTGGAGCGGGGGGGGCCATGATTTTTAGTATCCAGGAGGTTGAAGAAGTGGAGTTCATAGGCTCGTCTCTGGGAAGCGTTGTGTAAGTTTCCTTTGAGGATCAGGACTGAGAGATTGGAGAGAGAGTGGTTTTCTTGTGAGAAATCATGGACTAAATATAGACATAATCATGGACGTTACCCTCCCCCCCTTCCAACCTGTCTCTCACCCATTGACTCCTCAATCTACATTTTCACTGACTCTGTCTTGTATGCATACCAGCCCAGCCTCTGGCTTCTTTACTTTTTCATTCCATCCAGGAAGAGCACACACCAACTGCAGAAACTTCCTTAGCCCAAAGCTTGCTTAATAATTGTTTTCCAACTATTTAAGTTGGTCTAACAAAAGATATCAGATTCACTCAAAGAACCTTGTCTGCCTATGTCCTTAGACCAACACGACTACAACCTACATCACTATATTCAATGCACCTTTTACAGGTTTCTTTTGAGATGCGTATTTAGCCTTTTGTCTTCTTTAGCTTCTAGGTCAATTGAAATGCATATGTAGTTTCTTTGCCTTTACTGGCTCACTGGCCCAGCTTTTCCTTTGGCTCTCTTAGCTTGGAAATACACATGTGATGAGTGTGTCAGGACTCTGCAAACAATTTTAACCTTTATTTTTATTACTTTATGGCATGGGTCTGGTATTGGGTACCACAAGCACTCCACTGTCTTGATGCCTAATGGGTTGCAAGCCATTAGTGGAGTTTGATATTTTTTTCTTTTTTTTTCTTGTGGCAGTCTTGTTACCACAATTCAGTCTTGCCCCAGCCATTGTCTTGTACACCATCCAAGCTTTCAGTTTTCAGATGCAGCAGTGGCCTACACTGGCCCCAGCTTTTTGAGGGAAAGGCATCAAGCTGGTAGAGATGTTGAGGGGTGTGTACACCACCCAGCCTGGGCCCAACTAGGCTACTGTTTCCTAATGGTGGGTCTTTCCCAGGAAAATATAAGCAATTGTGAAGTGGCCTGGGTTGCTTCAGTACAGAGATCCGCTGATCATCTTCTGCCCTTTTCTGCCTTGTTCAAGAGGGACTGCCTGATCAACTTGCATTTGCTTCTGGGGAAGTTAATTCAAGGAGAGCAAGGAAGTAGCGTTCATGGGTCAGTGTCACCCTCTTAGGGTCCTTGCCTGCTCCAGTCTCCATAGATAGGCAATGGTCCCTCTGAAAGCAGGCTCACCTCCTCACTCGGTCCCTGGTGGAAGTGGAAGAACGAAGCAGCTCCATTCCATTGGTGTCAACAGCCAGGTATTGGAAATCAGCTGTATGTTGGCTTATAGACAGCTTATAGATATGTTGGCCCCAGCATCTGAAGGGCCATTTCTGCCATTTGTGAACTGTAGGGACTTGGCATACAACACCAACACGGCCTGACAAAAGCCCTCCAGAAGGCTCGGTAGGGGGCTGGAGCGTTGCAGGACAGCAGAGGCCCAGGCCAGACCACCTCCTGTTAGTAAACTAATCAACCCCACCATGGTGTTGGTGGAGTACGTTTGGGAGCACAGGCAGCACTGATTCACGAACACCCAGTCTTTTTGGCTCACTACCAAACACTGAGGTAGTGCAACCTGAGGTCCATGGAAGTAGGAGCGCTTGGAGCAGGGATTACAGCTGCTGCCGGCAGCTCTGGCTTCAGCTTGAGGATGCCGTGTCCATGCTGTGAGGCAGTGGGGCCCACCTTTTTGGCAGCTGTGCCACAAATTAGCCTCCCATCCTCCCCAAATGCCTCACAGCTTCTTGCACAACTGCAAAGAACCCTAACCTGCCGCAAGTAAAGCACAGGGACAACTGCTGCAATGACCTAACAATGTGTTATTGTAACCTTATCGTACTTCAGCTCAGTTTCCCATTTTAAGAGATCGAAGCGCACATACAGCACTTGGAAAGCGTACAACGCATGACCAGGTTAACCTGAACTCTGGGTTAACCAATTTTTTTACCAGGAGATAGAAAGCAAATCATTAGGGGTCACGAGTCAGGCCTGTGGTGCAGGGTGGGGAGAGGCTGCAGGCTGCGGGTCAGGACCAGGCTCGGGATCACCGAAGGGCTGACGCGAGACCGAGCCCAGCGCAGCGGGAAGGCTGCGAAGGCACCGCCCGCACGACAGCGAGGCGAGGGGTGTCCCGCGCGCGCCACAGACGGGCGGGGCCCCGCGGGACACGTGAC